GGCGAGGTACCAAAAGAGTGGATATTGCCCATCTCCGAAATCGATCTAAGTTTGACAATAATATTACGATGTACCAAGTTTGGTTCAAATCAGATACTCCCTTCGAGAGCTCTCGTGCGCAGCAGCCAGCAGACGAACGGGCATCGCTAGTTCGACTCCATATATCCTGAAACGGATTTGGTCCAAAGAGACCTAGGGTCTAAAACCGTTATTTCGATGAAGCACATTTTCCACGTATGTGTATTTATATATACCCTCTCTAGCCATATGGCTGAGGGTGTAAAAACGTGAATCTGGGGTTCTAAAAATATTACTTATTCTTTGGCTCTTGGTCAAATTGGAAAATACTTACTTCCTATGACATGACATTGTTAAGATAAGAGGTTAGTAAGCTGTTTTGTAAGTAGTTACTGACGGTAAGATGTACCTAATAGGCCCTTATTTGTTAATGAGATTTTTTGCGGGACCAATCCAATTTGATTAGTGACAACTATTTCCACATACGCAGAAAAACTTTACATCCTCAAAAAAAAAATCATAATATTTTTGCTATCTTCCATCTTATCTGCGTTCCGAAATTTGTGTATGTGTCGCTCATTTCCTGCTTCTTATCTTCGAGTGTAATGCTTTGAAATATGACCAACTAATATAAATTTATTGTGTTGGAAAAGTAGTCGTCAGTAGGCATTGCTAATAGAGTCATAAATCGTTCCACAGCAATTCACATTGTCACAAGTGGACATGGACATTATGGAAGATTGTCTGGGACAAATTGTCGGCAATCAAATGCGTACAAAAATAAATTGACCAATTCAACGAAAACGAAAACTATTCACAGCGAAAGGATCTTGGAATTATAAGAGGAGATGAGTTTCATCACACTTTGTAATTTAGATATCGCATAGGAGGAAGCATGGGCACTTCCCGCAATATAAATGAAAGCATTTGAAATATACATTTAATCAATTTTCACCAGCGTACACCACCTCAATTCGACTAGGAATACGAAGTCGAGAGCAAAATTTTGATTTTTAAAGGTTTGTCTTCAAACTTCGACATTTCGGTCTTGCGTTTTGGATCAATCAACTATATTTTGATTTTGACTTTTTACTTTTTATCCAAAATCTATCTAAAGCCGGTTTTCGATTATTGGTTTTTGTGCATAGTTTTATTAAATGATAGCATAATTTTCTGACTTTTTAATGGATATAATAAAAAAGTGAAACTGAAGCTGAAATATCATTTTTTTTAGATTATTATTGGTTTGATTGATACTCGACTCTGCGGTTTCCATCCACCGATCTATATGATACTATCTCCCCTCCAACTTCCTCAAGTTTTGCCAGGATTTCATATTCACCTTGCTAAGCTATTCTATGCCCGTTCAACCTTCTTTCTCACACAAATATTTTCTTTAATTCCAGATCTCCATAAAAATGTATTCCAATGGATTTAAACATCAAACCGATATCAATTAATTCTCCTAAAAATTGTTTTGGATTTTCTGTTTTCCATAAAATTTTAATTAAATGCACATAAATTGTTCTTTGTGATTTCTAAAGCAGTGAAATGTTTTTCTTTTCCAAATCTCGATATATGATATCTACTAAAAGTTGTTCTTGTTAAATCATTAAAGGACACATATGCAAAAAAGAAAAAACTTTCAATGGGTTCAAACATAATTCGAAATATTTGCTTTTGAAATTCCAAGAATTTTCACACAAAAGTCCAATATCAGCAAAACAACAGCAACAACTCGATTTGGCTTTATTAAGAAATAAGGAATTTTATAAAATTCCTCAAAAACATTGTGGTTTCATATTTGGAAAATATTTTATTATTTTTACCTCTTTGTGAGCTCTGTGCTGCACATACATTTGAACATAAATAATTTATTTTGCAAGCTACCTACAACATGTGATAGATGTAATATCCTGGTATGAATGTCCTGAGTAGTTTTATGTCATCAAAACTATCGCATGCCTGCCAAATGGAATGATGAATGGAGCACTTCGAACTTTTGATTATGTGTGTGAATGTCTGTTTGTATGTATATATTTAGATCCATGCAAAAACTGTGAGCAGTGCTGCCGTTTGATTCGATAAGCGACCAATATTTTTAAATGGGGCGATTTTCGTTAAATTTCGTTGGGTATTCATATATAAGCTAGGAATATCTTTGTTATAACAATATTATTTGATGACGATATTATTGAATTAAAATATTAACTTAACTCAAATCCCAGAATACCTATAATTGAGCGTATCAAGTTCTAAAATGATATATAACAAAAACCCCAGACAATTTCCAATTTACTTCCAATATTTGATGTGTAGTCCTTAGGGAAGATGCCTCAGATTTTTAAAAATGTGTCCCAACCTCTAACCGAGTGGATTGCAATCAAATATTCAAGTTTCCATGGAGCTGAAACCAATCCTAAAAAATATTTTCCAAAAAAAAAGGTTCACTGATTTTTATAGCACCTACACGGACTTCTTCGGATATAACATAGTTTTACCGAACCGAAATTAAGAGTATAGCTTCAACTTTTTTATACATTTTACCACAACGGTGACACCGAATTTAAGACCCAAACCTGGTACATCGTAATAGTATCGGTCCACATTGGTCTACACCTTTTGGTACCTCCGATACAAAAGGACAAAATTAAAAAAAAAAATATTTTTTACTGTACAGAAAGAAACTTTGCAAATCCTAATATTTCCATCAGAGCTAAGTCAGTTGCTACAAAGGGTCAAAATTTTGAATAATTATAACTCTTATAAAATGTGATGTAATATTCCGATTGTCTTCCAACTACACACATTACAATATTTTTATTAACCCAAGGTCTGGTGTGAAGATGGAATATATCGGTCCACTCCTTCTGGTACCTCCACAAAAGGGTTAATATTTTCAATATCCGAAAAACGCAAAATTACCATCCAATTTCATTAAGCCTTGGCACATCTAAATATTTCTATCAGAACAAGATCTCTTATAAAGATGGTAGATATAGAACTATTACATCTGGTATCTCCCCCATCCTGGGTCAAATTTTTGAATAACCAAAACGAATATAAGATCCGAAATAAGTATCCGCTTCTCTTCATATTTCACACATCTCATTATTTCTACTAACACAGGATCTGCTGTGAAGATGGGATATATCCGTGCTCTCATACTGGTACCTCCCCCACAAAGGTGCAAAATTTTGAATATCCATGGAGCTCGTAAAACGCAATATTAATATCCGATTCCATTATGATTTGGTATATCTCAATATTTCCATCAACGTAAGATATGTTATAAAGATAGTAGAGATCGGACCATTTCTTCTGGTACCTCCCCCACATATTCAAGATTTTGAAGAACAAAACGCCCAAAGAAATCGAAATAAGCATCCAACATGATATCTATATTGGCCCATTGCTTCGAATCCTACTCCATAGAGGTTCAATAATCATAACAGAAGTCAAAATATATTTAAATAATTGAATATTGGCTGAGGGTATATATCTGTCGGCAAATCCGATTGATTCTTTTTAATTTTTTATTTTTAGATATTCCAAAACGTCGATATTTATAATATTCAAAATACATCGACATTTTTAAAATACCTTATTAAGACTGCCTCTTTCAAGTATTGATTTCCTGAAGATCCTTGTGGTATTTTTAATAAAGTACTCTATAATTTCTTTGCTCTCTCTAATGGTCCCCGGAGACATACCACCCATACGAGGACTTCATTTTTGCGGTATTTTGATGCCGGTAACAAAATTTAGTTAGACCAGGACGACCGGGACCGGCACATTTTTCTCACTTTTCTGATAATGGTATTTTTCATTTCTTACAAATTCCATTTTTGGTAGACAATATCTGCAGTGGCAACCCTACGTCCTAGAGGCACATGGAATTGATATCCACTCCAATGTAGACCCACAGAAGTACTATATTATAAATAATTGTGTCTTTGGCAAAATAAGCCATGTGAACTAAGCCAGATGACAAACTTATTAACAATTTAATAAATTACATATTAACGAAGACTAACGAAAGTTTCGTTATTGCTTGTAGTTTTGTTGTTGTTGGTGGTGTTGTTGGCTTACTAATCATAAAATGATTTTCGGCACCAACACTGCTCGTCGTTCGTCGGTTGTTGCTTTGTCATTAAAAACAAACAAAGCATAAAAATGTCTTTTGCCGAAAGCTGTCAAATAGACAAACGAGCTGTCGCCTTCTCAGATGTATGGCAGTCGGTATGGCTCATGGCTGGCTATGTAAATTTCGAGAGCCAAGTAACGCCATAACAATCACAGGCCATTAAATGGATTTTACCACCTGTCTGGTGGCTGTGTGTCGGGTTGAAAGTGTCTGCCAGCCAGGTAGTGAGCCAACCAGCCTGTCTGCCCATTTGCCCATGTTGTTATATCATTCACATGAGAGAAGAAATCGAAAAAATCCTGTTAAAATGACAAATATATCGGACGAAAAGGCTGTCGGTTGGTTGGTTTGGCCGCAGATTTTATGCGCCTTGAGGTATTTTTGCCATAACAAAGACATTTCCAGTTGTAATCGGACTGGACCAAGCCATGTGAAATTTGAAATTGAAAAAGCCTTGCAATTTGTTATTTTATGCGACAGTTGTAATTTTGTCAAAAAAACAGCACACAGTATTTCAAAATCGCCGAGAAAAGCAAAGAAAAATGAAATAAATTGTGTGCCTTCCTACAACTAATCCCTAGAAGTAGCTCAAACTGAAATGAAAAATCGAAACATGTCAATGTTGTGAACAAAAGTAAAAGGTGTTAAGGAAGTTATGACTGCAACGTATGTTAATTTGGCAACATAAGCCAAGCCATTGCCTGAGTGTGAGATTTATAAAGTTCCAGCAACAACAATAAAAAACATTCGTGAAATGTTGCATGAAATTGCATTTTTTTGTGAAAATATTTGATTTGAAATTAAATTAAATTGTTTTTTTTTTTCTCTGTTTTAGGACGATTCGGATAACATCTATTCACGCTATTACGTGCCGGGCACCGTGACCCGCAAAAAGGAGGAAGAACTTGGTTCACCCACATCTGTATTGGAGTCCAGGCGTCAATATGTCTTGCAGCAAAGACAAAATAAAGGTAAGGACAAAATAAAAGAAAATGGAGATATTTTGTGTTAATGCAATAATAAAAATGTTGAAAATTGAAAAGTAAAAATTGAAAAAAAAAAAAGCAAAAGTAATGCGATTTTCAGAGGATTAGTAAAGAATGCACTGCAATTGAAGAATAAACTGAATATTATTCTATTATAGGATAGATTAAAAGAAAATAGAAAATGCAGTCATATATTGTAGTGCATTAACTCCCCCATAAGTTTTTCGTATCGATACCCTGTTGCATAGAATGTAATAAAAAGAAATCTGCTTTTACCTACAACGTATAAGACGAACCTCCTTAGCCTGGGTCTATTTTTGTCCATAGGCTGTGGGGTAGGCCCCGAAGAAGAAGGTCACATTCTATTTCCCCGCTTGGTCTCATATAGATAAAAATGTGGGGCTTTGTTTTTTTAAGAAAAGCTTGACCTTTGTAAAAGAGATTCGAGAAGGCTTCAACTGATATCGACTATTGTTTTCTCTTGACCTAAGGCTGATCCTGACCGTATCATATGAAATTTGGACTATAGAAGCATTGAAAAGTAAAGAATAAATAATATATGAAATTGAATAAAAAAAACTAAAACTTATGATTCTTTCTAGGGATTTGTCTCAAGATTGAAAAGAATAGGAAAAAAATAAAAACCAAAGAAACCAAAAAAAAAAAGTCCACCATTTGGAACGAATGTGGAAATTTTCAAAAAATAAAATCCGTTACAAAGTCTTTTAAAATCATAAAATACCGAATATAGCCTTTATATTGAGGTCTTTACGAAGAAGTGGACCTGCATAGGCAACTTTTATCATAAGCCATTACAATATTCAGAAATGAAACATGAAAAAAAATCCGGTGAATAATGTAGCTAAAATACCGAATATTAGGAGGTGCCGTTATATGGGAGCTATACGAAATTTTTTCCCATAGGTTGTAGTAACCCTTAAGATCTTCTAATACGAAATTTGAAACGATTCCGGTAAATAATGTTACTGAAATCATCAAAATACCGAATATCGGGAGCTAATGTTATGTGGGGGCTATACGAAGACGTGGACCTGTCATACGCTGTAGTACCTATTAGGAACCTCAAATGCGAATATTGTACCTAAAAATCAGTGAATATTGTACCTAAAATTGTGAAAATAGCGAATATAGGGATATACTAATATATGGGGCCTATACGAAGACCTGAACCTGCATAGACAGTTTTCTGTCATATACTGTAGTTTTGAACAATACAAACTCTAAATACAATTTGAAACAACTCCGGTGAATAATGTCGGTAAAATCGTCAGAATATCGAATATCGGGGGATATCATTGTTTGTGGGCACTACGATTTTCTCTTCCAGGGGGTAACGTGCTCAGAAAGAACTTCTAGTATGGATTTTTAGACAATTCCATTAAAAAATTTAGCCAAATCATATATAGGGAGGTACTATTATATTGGGGATATACGGTATCGTGAAGCCATACAGACAATATTCATCCCGGGGGTAAAGTACTCAGAAGGAACTCCATTTTTTGGATTTTCAGACAATTTCAATGATAAATTTAGCTACAATCATCAAAATACCAAATATTGGACGTACCGTTATATGGGAGCTATACGATATCGTTGACATATCGTTGACATCGTCGAACTTGATTTGCCTGAAAACAAAAGACTGATCTGTGCAAAATTTTAGTTTCCTATCTTTAGCAGTTTTGACTCTAGCGTGATAACAACAGACGGACAGACTAGCCCTATCCGTCATCTTAAATCATCTCAAAATTTTACGCTGATGTGGAATATATATACATTGTTATGTCTATAATTATTATTTCGATAAGTTACAAACGGCTTCTTTACTTTCTTTTCCCAGCTCCAATATTGGTCTCTCCCTTGACTTGGCGTCAATTTGAACGCTTTGCGAATATAAACAAAATATCTTTATCTTTTCAATTTCAATGTTTTGAAAACTATCTCAATTTATGCGCAATACTCTGCTCTAAGTGGATTAGAACATCTTTTTGTTTTCAGAATATATCTTGGTTAAGTGTTCACCAACCAAAAAGGAAACAAACACAAATCGAAAAAAAATAAAACTTATCTTAAAGCCATAGCGTTTGACACCATAAAAAAACGTTTGTCAATGCCTTAGCATTGCACTAAAATGTCACACCAAGTTTCGTGTTATTGGATCGAACGAGGAAAGATTGTCACTTCGTTGGGTCTTTTTTTATTCTGGCATTTGAAGCCATTGGTATGCAGTTTTTTTTTCCTGGCATCACGGTTATCGAAGGTGTTAAAATGCGATTTCTGGGTGTTTGCCTTCAAACGCGAACTGAAGTGAACCAGAGACTGGGTAAAAGGCTGCGAACAAATGAACGGTGTAAAAATGTAACACTAACTATGACAAGATGCATGCTTTCGACCTAGATTCCGTTTTTTGGCTGCCAAAAAATAATTTGTTTACTGTTCGAGCGAGCATGTTGACACTTTTTGGGTAGCATGACAAGAAGAAAAAAACTAGAAGAGAAAAATGTAAAAAAACATGCTGTTGTGGAATATAAGCTTGCTGGATATTTACTCTAGCTTATGGGAGTTCAGAGCGTAGGCAGGATTTCTTGGTGTTTGATACTCCTTTTTGGCCTGACACCTAACTGTAACTCCTTGTAATTTTGTTTTCCTTTTTTATTTTTTCTTTCAGCCTTTGCCAGTGCCCATCATCGACGCATTGTAAAGGAGGGCTCCTGTCGCATACCACAACCACGCGTTGAACGCATTCGCCGTGACTCTTGGAAAATCTACACACCACATTGCACAATTTTACATCGCTGCGCGGACGATACCGGCTGTTGTCCCACAGAGCGCCAAACCTGTGCCCCCAAACGCACAAAGAATGTGGACTTATACTTTTTTGTAAGTATTTTTTTGTGGTGGTATTTAAGGAAAAAATAGTTGAATATAAAGTTAGCTTACATACATTGTGATATTTGTGATGAATGGCTGAGAATGGATATTTAAAACTTGAAATGTCTACGCACACAATTTCCGTGGAACAACTATAATTTATCTATCAATTTATTTATTATATTTGATTCTTGGAATTATTGAAACATATAAGCTCAATAGTATAAGGCATCTGAAAAATACGTGAAAATAATAGCTTGGAAATGTGATTTACTATTATCGATACCATGTATCTCAAAAAAAATGGAGTCAAAGGTCAACATTTTGAGAACTTTTTATGCCCCACAATACACAGATACAGTTCGGTTTATTACAGTACACTATTATTTCTTTATGCATTTGTTTGTAACACGGAGAAGGAAGCGAGATAGACCCATAGTTCATCTGAATAGAATCATATTCTGAGTCGACTTAAGCATGCTCGATGTATTTTTGTAAAAAAAAGTACAGGTCGCATTTATTGTCCGATTTTGCACCAATCAATTGCTTGGCCCAAGAATGAGCACTATTAAAATTGGTTCAAATGCATTGGTTTAAATTAGATATATCTTCCATGCATGTACAGGGTGAGATAAAAAAACTGCAACAAAATCGAACGCCATAATTTTTACATTTTTTAATTTTATTGAATGAAAGCAAAAAATGTCGGAAATAGCACCAAACTTTAGAATAAGTGCGTGCTGAGTGCGATGGTGCTGAGTCCTGTTGGCATGTCCAAGGTCTGCGGCCAAAATGTTTGCGTGCCCAAGGCATCCAGAATATTTTCGCGATAATATTCGACATTTCTTCTCATGCCACGGTCGATTAATACAAGCAGAGAGCGACCATCGGCTGTTATGGCGGCCCACACCATCACCATGGCGGTGCTTGAGTTCTGGTGGCCAACGAAGGTGCACATTTTCAGATAACCTCTTTGGAAAGTAAACGCGATCATTGGACTGCTGGACAAATAATGTTTTCTTATCGGAGAAACCCAAATTCGGCAGTTACCACTTTCGCTCTTTTGAGTCTATTTTCTTTCTGTTGCGGTGTAAGTTCTTGCACTTTTTGGAACTTCAATGGCTTTACCCCGAGCTCATGTTTTAATATTTGATGAATATAATATTGCCATATGTTCAGCTCACGAGCCATTTTTCGGCCACTGCGACGCGGTTTTCGATCAAGTCGGTTCTTTACTTTTCGAACCATTTCTGCTGATGTTGCTGTTTTCTTCCGTCCACTTCCTTGACGTCGGGCTACGCTACTAGTATCACGGTAACGAGCGATGGTACGAGACACAAAAGACTTTTTCACATTTAAATGCTGGAGTGCTCTTACGATAGCCACTTATGGTTTTCCAGCCAAATATAAATAAATCACACTATCACGCTTGAATTCCATCACGAATAACCTTTTTTTCTGGAAAATTTTCACCAAAACGCGTTTGTACGCTTGTAAACAATATAATGAGCTGTCACTGGAATAATTTTAACAGCTGCAGTTTATTCATCTCACCTTGTATAATCCGACACCATTGGGAAATATTCCCCAAGATGGCCTCAACTTATTATTTAAATGTTATTGTATGTTTTAGGATATTTCTCTGTTCTACAAGTAATTCAATTTCTAAAATAGGTTTTTTTATTTAAAATTATAAACAATTTCTGAAATTCTCCTAATTGCTCTTAAAAGTTTTTCTTTTCAAATTGGAGCTGTTCACCATTTTTGTTTAATTTGTATCCGAATGCCAAAACTTAAAACGTTCCTAGTTTTTTTCAACAATTTTTTTTTATTTTATTTACCATCAAAAATTCTATTGATTGTTACCATTCATTTATTCATTCTTTCTGAAGAAGTGGCGAACAATTTTTATTTGTTACGACTCGGAAGAACAACAGCCAACAGGATGCCAATAAAGTTTTCTGTTTATTTGTTGTTGTTGCTGTTGTTTTGAGAGAAAGAGGGAGAGAAAACAAACAAACTTTGGGATGTTTTGTAAGTAGCAACTAATTGTTATTTTATTACCAGTTTGGTTTTGGGCAAAAGTTTTTCAATTTTAATTGGAATTTACTTAATTAAACTAACTTAATGAGCGAACCGAACATGGCGAATTTCGGACAAAGGATATAAATGAGGCATACACCAAAATACAGTTAGATTCAATTGGAGAATTGTAAGAGAGAGAGGGAGAGTTAAAAAATAATATTACTTGGGTTTTGGAAGATTGAGTTAGAGATATTCAAAATAGCTTGGTTACAAGATCTGGCAAAACTATTGTCATATAGTGAAAATTTTAATACATTGTTTGCAAATAAGTTAATAAACAATTTCCAAACAAATCAACTTAATTATATATAAATAAAATAAATAAATAAATAATATTGGATACCCTATGTGTGATAGACCTAGTATTTCAAACGATTCGGCCCGATTCTTTGATGCCATATTGTGTTCACCCGGTGCAAAGACTAGTTTGAAAGAGAGACAGAGGCCATAAGGCTGAGGCTCAAATGAAACACAAACAGAGATCCCAGGATAGCATTGTGAAAGCCAATAGGACCCTTTTATCTATTAAGAAACCCATTTGGATATTGGATATTTTACAAGTTCCGTTAACTTTCTTTCTATCTAAACCGACGACCTATATTGTTCTGATAAAGACGCTTAAAGATTCTTTCACATAAAATCTTAAATTCATTCTCCCCCGTTATCCAATTTAAAAATTTGTTAAAACTGTATCTCACACCACTCCAATCAAGAGTTAACACACATAAAAGTGCAACTCTCATCCACTCGAATCTTTCGATTGCACTTAACGTCAGTCGCTGCAATGAATGGCAATGCAGCAGCAATTCGATTTAATTTGATGCGGACGGAATGCATTCGACAATTTGCTGTGGCAGGGGCAAACAAAGAGCACGCACATTCATGCGCGGCATTGCAAGGTTAGCATTTTTCGGAATGTCAACTTTCTTTGCCTGTTGGGTTGGTGTAAAATTCTGGTAATGACACAGAAAGGACTCGGTAACATGAATAACTAAAAGATAACGCAATGTTCTTGAATTAAATTAAATAAAATGTGAAGATGCATAGTTCAATCCACATAGATGATTCAAAAAATAAAAAAAAAAACTTCCAAAGGCAAAACAAAAATTGCAAAAAGTTTTAGAAAGACTCATGGATTCCAAAAGTGCAAAAATTTATTATTTTGGTTTAAAGGTTATCTTTTCAAAAATCGTAGTTTTTGATAAAAGCAAAAAATAACATAATCTTAATCTTGCAGTATTCCTGATACAATAATCCAACCATAATGATGGATGATCATACGATATGACCCTAATCCATTACATTAAAATAATTATATTTTTTTAAAGAAAAGAAAAAAAAATCGTAAAAGAGAAGAGAGAGGAGGTACCATTTTTCAAATATGGGTCCACATTGAAAATTTACTGCGAAAAATGTTATGCTCTAAAAGTTTAAGATATGTAAAATTAAAATTGATTGGAAAATATGGCTAGCACCCTAGAAATATCAGATATTAATTGCACCATATCCTACGATTTCAAAATACCGACTTTTTTGTAAAATAAGTTTGAAAACTTGACAAAAGGAAAAAGCTTAAAATTCCGCCTGGCTAAACTTTTAATACCCTCGACATGAGGTAAGGAAATCTTTAAAAAGAAAACAATTAAAAATCAGTAAGTTCGGCCGGACGAACTTTGAATGCCCTCTACCCTTTGGAACGAATTTAGAAAATTTTCAAAGGATAAAAACTCTCAAAAATTCTGTTAAAATCCGAATATAGGGAGTTGATATATGGGGAATGTACGAAGACCTGGACCTGCATAGTCAATTTTCTGTCATAGACTGTAGACCCATTAGGAACTTTAAATACGAAATTTGAATCAATTTCGGTGAATATTGTACCCAAAATCGTAAAAATAGCGAATATAGGTAGGTATCGTTATATGGGGGCTATACGAAGACCTGGACCTGTATAGACAATTTTATGTCACAGGCTGTAGTAGCCGTCACGAATTTCAAATACGAAATTTGAGTCAATATCAGTGAATAATAATAATAAAATAATCAAAATACTGAATAAAGGGAGATATACGAAGATATAGGCCTGCACATACAATTTGCTGTCATAGACTGTAGTACCAGTTACAAACTTTCATTACGAAATTTGAAATAATTCTGGTGAACAATGTCGCTAAAATCATCACAATACCGAACATAGGTAGAGGTACAGATATATGGGGGCTACATCTAAACGTGGACCTTTACATATGGTACCGTACTATCAATTGAGCCACGCTAGGGTTCCGATTTTTGTAGATAGGTTTTGGTCGGGTTTTCCAATTTCGGTGAATATTGTACCTAAAATCGTCACAATACCGAATATAGGGAGGTACAGTTATATGGGGATAATACCTTAATGTGGACCTATACCTATTTCTAATACAAAAAGTTCTGCAGAACAAACACACTTCTGAGCAAAAGTTTATCTTTTTTATCGACGTTTTCGGTAGCTGGAGTGATTTACACAGACTGACAGACAGAGCGATTCATGAACTCAACTTCTGCCTTTTGACAAAATACCCATGTGTGCAAAATTTTAGCCTTCGATCTCAATTCGTTGATTACAGCAGGCAGACGGAGATCGCTAAATCGACTTAGAATTTGACGCTGATCCAGAATATATTTACTTTGTAGGGTCTAACATAAATATTTCCTCGAGTTTTAAGCGGAATGGCAAACTTAATATACCCTCTATACAATAGCGGAGGGTAGATAAAAAATGAAAACACGCATTTACCCTTATATAGGGTCAATATCAAAAAGTGGTCCGACTTGACCCATTTTCCAAACCAATGATTCCAGAAGTGAACTGAAGCTCTCTCAAATTTTATAGATCATATAGAAGCAATGTAAAGGACCTAAAAAAGTTTGGTCTGAGAATCGAA